CTATTATTATATATATATATATATATATATATATATATATATAAAAATATTACATTCATAAGATGAAGAAATATATAGAAACAAAATGTAAAAAGATCAGAATAAAAAAATTTTTAAAAAAATCGAAATTAGAAAAATTTTAGTTAATAAATATTATATAGAGCAATTAGACAAAAAATAATAAATTGTAATTACCTGATAATGCAATTCTAATCGCCGCATTATTTCTTTGGCGAGAGATAACAACGCGTTATATTTGGTAGTAAGTTGCGTTATAGCATTTGAAATTCTTGTATCGGCACATGTTTCCAGCAGCATCTGCGCTTTCATATTTAATCGGTCTAGCTCCTTCTGCCAGTCAAATAAGGTTTGCAAGTGAACCTGAAACTGCTCCAGAACGTTCTTCTTCTCTTCTAAACTATCCTGCAATTTATTAAAAGTTTGAACCAATTGTTCAGTTTGCGTAAGCCATTCTGTAGCTTCGGAGAACTGGTCTTCATATTCGGTCCATTTTACTATGCCAACTTCGAGCAAACTTTTGGTATTATTCAGCGAATCTCTGTTACATAAATATCATAACATATATATAAAATGTAGAACGTATATAAAAGATATTATTATTGTTGAATTGTGAAAAAAGTAAATTTAGCTATTTTACTTACACATAGTTATCATATTCTTCCTGTAGTAACGCTACTTCTTCCTCGATTATCTCCTTGTCTTCAGCATCTGCGATCTGACAGGCTGCGTTACCTTGCTCCAGAGCTTTTTCCAACTTCTTCTGACCTTCGAGCAATTCGCTCTGTAGAACTTTGAGTTGTGTGATTTTATTAGCTAAAGATTCTTTATCTCCCGTAGGCTCCGAACACTTGCTAAGTCTTTCCTTCGCTGCTCGTATCCATTGAATAAATTCATTACCACTGTCAATAAAAGCCTGATGCTGTTCAACAGTTTCCTTCTGCTTTGCATACAATTCCTGAGCCTGTTTGCTCAAAGTCTCATATTTGATCGAGATCTCTGTAGCCGGCGTCGCTTGTTGCAAGTCTTCAGCCTTTGTTGTGACTGACTGAATCATGGGCTCGAACGCCACGATATCCTGTACGATGCTGTTAGTTTGCCGCAAGTTCGCCTTTCTTTCTCCAATTGCTAGGGAGCTCAATCCAACTAAACCCTTTCGAGCCTTAGAGACTTTTTGCTCGCACACTTGCTGCAGCTTGGCCTCGCGATCATTGATCCATTGTTGCAATTGCGAATACGACGAACTGTAATCCGCCCACTGCAACAGACTTGTTTCGAGATGCACTTTCGTGGTTGAGATCTTCTTTACCAGGCGTTCCCAGTCATTTTGAATTTCTTTCAACTGTGCATTAATCTCCTCACGACCATCTGATCTTGTGTTTCTCATGACTTTCTCGCCGCAATTCACGGTCAGATGTACTAGGTTTTGGCCTTCCTCGCGTTTCCTCAATAATTCCTGAATCTTATCAAGTCTACTCTGCAATTCTTCACGACTGCTGCTCGAGGCAGCCTCAGTCCCCTGACGGATAATTTGTTTGGCATTCTTGATCCAATCGCGAGCTTTTTCAAGATTGCTCTCATATTCCTGATGTTGAGCTAAATTAGTCTCGACTTTGTTTAATACATCTTTTGCGAGGTTCACTTGTACTTGATAACGTGAATTCAAATGTCGCAGCTGGTTGTTGACATAAGTATCCAGGTGAGATGAAAGCAGACCGGCGGCTGTTTTGTTAAATTTATCAATTTGTTCTCGGCCTTTTATCAAGTTATCGAGTAAATCTTTCACCTCCTGCACCTGTTTTTCCTTTTCTTTCAGATTCGGCAAAAGAGCAGTTTTTTGAGCTTTGATGAGAATGTCAAATTGTTGCAACCAATCGCTGAGTCTCTCATATTCGTCTTTATAATCGCGCCATTGACTTACAGTAGCCTCCAATTGATCCTTTTGCTGCTGGATTTCTGTAACAGAATATGATTTTATTAATTATTACGTTAAGACTATTAGTATTTTTTTTTCATAAAAATGATTATATGCAAAAATAATGATTCGTTGTGAACATTATTTAAATAATTCTTACCTTTGAACAATCCTTCAAAACTTTCTGTAAGCGCACGTATTTCGTTTCTGATAACTTCTTGTCCGATGGAACTGGTACTGGCGCAAACAACCTTTCCAGTATGTTGCAAATGTTCCACCAACAGTTCACCTTGAGCCTTCTTGTTTAATAAACTCTCGAGCGGCACTACTGCACTCTCGATCGCTAACTTATCACTGAGCGATCTCTGCTTCATAGATGGTATCTTCTCGCGAGCTCGGCTGAGCCAGCCAATGAGATCGTCGTGAGCTTCCTTGTAAAGGCGATGATCTTTATATTGTTCCTCTCGTTCGGCCAACAAAGATTTGATCTTTTCGAAAAGTTCGTCGAACTTGTTCAATATATCTTGCGCTTGCGAGGCAGCTAATCCTTGTTGACCGCTCGCGATCATCTCAGCGACTTTGCATTTCAGACTATCGACCTCGATATTTTCGCAACGAACCTTCTCTTCGAGCGTCTTAATTCGCTCCAGTTGGTTCCTCTTCTCCGACATCGTTGTTTGAAATTGTGAAATCTCATCGAGCGACGTCTGCATGTACTCCACTGTTTTATTAACAGATTGTATTTGCTCCAGCAAACCGGCCCACTTGTTTATCGAATCGTCCAAGTTTGTTTTAGTCTCTAGCATCTTTGATGCCAAGGCACTCCACTGTTCCTGAAGTTTCGCTAAAGCGTCGTTAATCGTTTGATGGCCAGCCGGAGCTGTATTTGCTAGAACAGCCTGGGCTAATTCAACGATACTTTGAACTTTCGCAAAACCATCTTCTTTATATAATAGTAAATCTTGCACAATGTCCATCTTCTGCTCTAGATCTTTTTGCGAGGATGCACTTAAATCGGAGCAATACGCCAATTTATTTTTTTATATCTTCTAACCACGTGGTGCATTCTGCCAATTGATTGTCGAAGTCTTGATGCGTGGCAACGTACTGGTGCCAACGGTTATTGAGATCTTTAACTTTGCTGGAAATCTGTTGATATTTGATACTCAACTCGGACATATAGGAAGTACGAGATGTAATGTTCTTATGTAATTGTTGAGCACGCTCGACGACAGCGTCGATTTCCAACTCCTTGGCACGAACCTCGCCTTGAAGGGCGCGTAATTTCTCGAGTTGAGTCTTCTTTTCTGACAAAGTGGATTTGAGATCAACGGCGTGTAACTTTGTATCGGTGTCTCTCATCCACGTCAGGCATCGTTCTTTCAACGTTTCGAATTCGCTCCATTGCTGAAGCTTGTTCTCCAGCGCTTCAACGGTAGATTTAACGGCTGATATTAGGCCTTCCCATTCCTGCTGCGAGGAATCAATTTGCGAGCGGATGTTCACCTGCCCTGATTCCAGAGTGCCGGGTATCACTTTCTCACCCAAAAGCCGAATTTGTTGTACGCGCGCTTCGTCTTCCGGCAGAGAGTGCAACAGATTCTTCAGGCGATCCAGATTCGTGTGCAGGGACACTCTTTCCAATTCTACATCGCCCCACAGACTCACAGCATTGTGCGTGGCATCTAACCACTCATGCGTGTCTAAAACAGCTTTGCTATACTGCTGATGATCGCTCACTATACCTTCGTATCTTTCGACGAACTTCGTCGCGCGTTTCAGCAAGATATTGTATCTGTTCGTCAAATTGTTTAGCGTTTGATCGATCTTCTCGGTGCGATCAGGCAGATTATCCGCTTTATCCCGAAGATCCAGCAGATCTTGCTGATGCGTTTGAGCATCGTGTAGAATAGTACGGTAGATTTGTAACTGGGCGCGTTTCTCGTCCAAAGTAGTTTTCAGTTCGATCTCCGGTTTGAGTTGAGTCTCGGTATTCTTCAGCCAGCTCTCGAAAGCTTCGCTGCACTCGTCGAAACCGGACCATCGCGAAATCTTCGCTTGCAACTCACGTTCGGTCAAAGCGACACAGTCAAAGAGTTCCTCAAAGGCTTGCTGAAGATCTAGCAATTGCTGATGAATGATCTCTCGACCCTCCGTGCCAGTTGTCGGATATAATCGTTCCCCAGCCTCGACAGTGCTGTTTATCAAGAGAGTGGACGAGGACTGACGAGCCAAGAGTTCCTTTAAGGTTTCTACATTCAAGATCAGCTCCTGACGAGTACCACTAGCGTTCTCTTTAGTAGCTTGATAACGCGCTCTTGCACTTGCTAGCCATTCGGAGCATTGCTTATAACGATCTAAATAACTAGCGTGGTCCACAACTGCTTGTTCGCATTTCTTTACTAATTCCTGAAGCAGAATTATATAATGTTTAAGAATAAATCCTACCATTAACTATAATAATAAAGTTATTTAAGAGATATCGTTATACAATTCCTACCTTGGCCGTCGCTTGAATCGATTGGAAACGTGAAGTGACTTGTTGAACGCTGACAGAAAATCTAGTCTCGCCACTGATCTGCATCAACTCCGATGAATCATCACTCATTTTATCGAATTCGGCCTCGTTTTGTCGGAGGTTTACAATCAGTGACTGAAAAAAGTTATAATATATCTTCACTTTGACATATCCTAAATATTTGGAAACAAGGTTTATTAAAGAGCTGTTTCGCGTAATTTATATGCGAAAAAAAGGAAGTAGAGAATTCTCTCTTCCTGAGTGTGCGAGCAAAAGCCTATGTGTTTAAGTAATGGTTAGACTATTATTATTTAAGTGTTAAACGCGAACAAGTATGCATTAAAAGAATTAAATTTAATGCTCCATCTTGGCGTATCGTTTGTTTATCTCGGTAATTTCGATACCAAAAAAAGCTCTTTATTCATGCAGCAAAAAACAGGTCTCATTGCGAATTTTTAAGCTGAAAGCACATTATTCACTGAATTTAAAAACAATAAGCCGCCAAAAATTTAACAAAAATTCTCTTTACCGATGCATGAATAAACGAGTAATTTTATAAGATATAGTAAAATTTATATTTATTATGTGTAACTAAAATATTATTGTATGCGGATTTTTAATAATAACTTTAATAATAATTTTTTAATTAGATTCAATACTGATAAGAAATATTGGTTTTATTTAATAAAAATGACGGATGAGTCATTGTATTTTGTATTACTAAAGCACGTATCATTTAACGGTAATAAAATTGTAAGACGAAGTGTTGGCATCCTCCATCTGCTCTGACAAAAGCTATAAAAGCTGAAAGATTATAAGAAAAGAGCAATTGTGTCGAAGAGACTCCTCGTAAAGCCGTTGCAATCATCCACCTCTCTCGCAATTTTGTCTTTTTACAAAATAATACTTGCAGTTCACATATCACTCTCTTACTTGTTCGAGATGGTCACCAAGTGCAACCAGTTCTGTCACATCCGTGTTCCGTAAATCAGCAACCTTCTGTAGTTCCTAGGAAATTTTATTATATATAATCATTGTGCAAAAAAGACAATTACGCTCTACAGTTGGAGATAAAAATGAATCGTGGACGGGGTTTTCTCCTCTCTTTTTCGTTGACTCGAAAGTACTTGCATGATCTATTGTATTGGATGTGTATAAATAGAATATAATATTAACGCTGCAAAATTTATATTTGTGTTATATTCTGTGTGTGTGAAAGATGTCAGTGCGTGTAATCGAAAAAAAACAGCTAGATCTAATTGAAATTAAAAAACTGAACGTTTAAATGTGCACACCTCATATTATGTTACTATATCGGTGAGAAGAATTCTGTGATAAGGAGTAAACACAAAGCGGCCTTTATTTAATCAATATTTGTTAAACGGGACATTTATCAAATTTATATATATAAAGCCAAAAGAAAAATCGCATTTTCTTAACGCGACATTGTGATTATTTCAAACTTACTTGATATTTTTCAAGTTGCTCCTGTTTCTCCTCGAGTGTGTTCTTCAGGCAGTAATTTTTCAGTGACGTTTCGGCGTCAGTAAGCCAGGCGAGTAAACGTTCCAACGAATTTTCATATTCACTCCATTGTTGTATTCTTTCCTCGATGCAACGTACCACATCATTTACAGCCGTAGCGAATTTTTTATTTTCAAATCTAAAGAGATAAATCGTTCGACATTTATCTAGTTGGCAATTTTTAATAATTTGTTTTATTTACAAATATTCTTACCTGAGATTGGCTAGATCTCTTTCCATAGATTCTTGCGAGCGAGGTGGTAAGGTATGCGCGCTTTGCGCCACGTGTTCTCCAAGAACATTTAATTTTATCTCACCTTCGCTTTGACTATCTTGTATCTCTATAACTTTAGCTAATCTGGCCTGAAGAGCAGCTTTGTTTCCTGTGTAGTCACTGTAATTTGCTAAGCGTTCCCATTGGCGTTTCTGGTAATCTTGATAGGCTTTCTGAAGATCGTGGAATTGCTGGAAGATATCGAGCAACGTTTCCAAGTTGGATATTCCTTTCTGTGATGTATCCACTAGTTTTTCGTATCTTTTCGAAACCGAAACGACTTTTTCATGAACGTCCAATGGGACTTGGGTGACTTGAACCAGAGCGTTGGCTTTCTCGGAGATGCCTTCAATGATACGTTTGTGAGCCAAGATCTCTTGATGCAATGTCTGAAATAGAATGTTCCAGATAACGTAATTAACATCTGTTATATTGTCTTTTCTTTATATATTTTATTTTTTACAAAGTATTAAAAGCACGTATAGCAACCTTCAATTTGAGTAGTTTTGATTTTATTTCTTGTAAGGAAGACCACGTGATCGAGGAATCTTGCTTAACCGCACGTTCCATCGTGTCCAACCAAGTCAAAATTTGTTGTAGAGTCTCTTGATAACTGGACCATTGCAAAGATTGAGCATCTTGCTTCTTCTGTTGCTCGGCGATGCCTTCAGCTAAGCGATCCCACCTTTCGCGAGCATGTCGCAATTCGTGCCTAATTACTTCACGTCCTTGAGCGGAAGTGTCCGGAAGAATTTTCTCTCCGAGAGATGTTAGACTGGCTAAGCGATGTTCAGCTTGCTCCTTTTCGGCTAGCAAGACTTGCAAACGCGAATTCCTCGCTTCGAGATCTCCGCCGATCTCATCTTTTTTCAAGAGAGCCAAATTTTTTTCGAGAGGCGTAAGCCAAATATCGATAGCTTTCAATTTTTCTTCGTAAGCTCGATGATCATCTACGATGCTTTGGCAACGATTTATCACTTCTTTACTGAGCACATGCAGCAATTGATACCTAAACATTTAATTACATTTTGCGTGTGATTTTTACTTTTCTTATATCTTTATCTCATATCTTTAATAATTCAACATTTATGAAGGAAATATTGACTGTCCAAAAATTTTTACACATAACTATGATAGAGATAAAGAGCTTTCTTGTTGGAAATAATTCAACGTACCTGTTGCTGACTTGGGAAATCAGTGGCTTGATGCGTTCGATACCACTTGCGTGCAATAAACTATGAGATTTGTCCACGAATTCGTCTATTTCCCGTTCTTGTCGCGCGATAACTTCGCGTTTATCTTTAAATGCGCGAAGTTGTTCTTCCTTATCTTTTAACGTAGGCTGAAGCTGTTGATCTCGGAATGCCGCTTCCATTGAACGAAACCATTTTGTATGGGCTTCCAATTGATCTTCGAAATTCTGCCATCTCTCCAAAGCTGTTTTTTGTCTTTCCTCCACGGACTCTATAAAGTGAAAAAGTTATTGCAATAAATAGAGATTAAATATGTACAATATGTTGGGTTATATAATTTTTAAATTATTACAACTTAGGATTTGCCATATATATTTACCAATATCGTTTAGGAATTGATGCAGATTATTTTCTAAAGTGACCACTTCCTTGTTGATAACTTCCCGACCTTTCGGCGCGGTGCTATTAGCTACAGCTTCTCTAAATTCCTTTAATCTTGTCAAATGTTCCACTCCCTGTGCTTGACTTTCTTTTAATACCGCCAAGCTTGTTAATCTGCGAGATATTTCAGATCGCTCGCCCGTTATGTCGTTGCATTCCGCCAGCTTCTCGCGCTCTCCATTCAGCCAGTCTGAGAAGCATTTGCACTGAAGATTAAAACGATGGTGTTTCTCGCAACAATCTTCCAGATTCTCTAGCAAATCTCGTGACTTAACGACAATATTCTGGAATAGCTGTTTGATGGATTGTAAATAGACATTTAGGGAGGTATCCTTGGTTTGATCGACCAATTGTTGCGCTTTGTCGCAAACCGACTCGACCAATGTCTGATGCGACATAATCTCTTGGTGCATGATCTTGTGATTCTGCAATTGCGCGCGTTTCTCCTCCAGCGTAGATTTCAGTTCTGTGTGTTGATGCATCGCCCGCTCGACATCTCGCAGCCAAGCCGTTAATTGCTCTTGGGACAACGAGAATTCGGCAAACTGCATCAAACATTGATCCAATTTCTGCGTTGAACTCTGCAAATCCTCAGAAAATCCATCCCACAGACTGCGCAAGTTTCTCAGCTGTTGCCTGATTATTTCTCTACCTTCCGGCGAGGTGTGCACGTAAAGCTTCTCGCCGAGATCGATGACGGACTCGAAACGTGCGTTCTCGCGAGTCCGGACATCGCCGAGATCCCTGATGTGTTTCTGTCTGCTTTGTAGCACAGCCAGATCGCCAACAATCTCGCTGTACTTTTTTAATTCGTCTTGAATCTCGTTAATCCAATTGAGGAATTGATTGTATTTTTCATTGAACAAACTATGCTCCTTTACGTATTGCTCGTATCTCGTTACAGCCTCCTTCGCTTGATTCCTAATTGTTTGATATCTCGTAGCTTGACGGGACACTTTGCTGGCCAAATCGGATTCCGCTTCTACGCCTTGACTTTTCTCGACCGCGGCATTGAATTCCGCGCCCTTCGCCACGATAGTCTCTTCCAGGGACTTCAGTTTCTGCAAGTGCGCACGTTTCGTTTCCTCGGTACTCTTCAGGCTTTGATCTTTCACCTGCGTCTCGATCTGTTTGAGCCAAGATTCTAGACGCTCGACCACTTTCTCGAATTCGGACCACTGGTCAAACAAGTGATTCAACTTGTCTCTGTTTGCGACGCATCGCTGGAGGAAGTCTTCCCAAATTTTCTTCTGCTGCTCGAAGCCCCTTAGCAACGCCGGGTGACCGGCTATCGAGGTTTGCTCCAAAATGATGTTCAATTGCTGGTTGCAATCAGTGATGATCCTATCGCCTTCGGATTTCTGTTGCAACACGTTCTCGATTAGGACAATTTTAGACTTGGCCGTGTCTCGATCTATCGAGAGATCCTCACTGATAGACGCCGCCTCATTTACCACCGTATTAATCCAATCTCGCATCTTTTCAAATGTCTGAAGATAAGCCTCGTGATTAGCAACATGCTTTTCTGCTACACCGATTCTATCCTCCACGTCTTCCGACAGTTTTTCGTGCGCTTCAATCACACTGTTGAGCATTTCGCTGGCCTCGTCGTCCGGTGCCGATCCAAGCCTGTCTTGAAGTTGCTGCAGAATGTTTCGGTGAACTGCAACATCTTGCGCGATGGCTTTATACAAGTGCAAAGCGAGTTTCTTCTCCTGAAGCGACGGTAATAGATCCTGCTTATCGCCTAATTTCTTCCGTGCCTCAATTAACCATTGCTTTACCTGGGAATATTTATCTTCGAATGAAGATCGATGCATCATGTCGCTCTCGATCTTCTTGTAGATCACGTTTGCGCGATCGGCCAAGGCTTCTACGCGATTGCGCAAATTTCTTAACTCTCCTCTGATAAGTTCTCTATGATCTGGTGTTATCTTTGCGAAAAGCGTTTCACCCGCTTCCGCTGTTCGATTCAAGATCGCTTGTCCAGTCTCACGTTCCTCGCCAAACGCTTTCAATTCTTTCAGTCGAGACTGATAGAAGGTCATCGGTTTCGGGCCACTAATTTCATCGAAAGCTTTTAATTTCTGCTCCGCGTTTTGCAGCCATGATTCTAGCTCCTTCACATTGGCGGCGTATTGGTTCTTGATTTGTTTCAGTTCTCTGAGCCTGTCTAGATGTTGAACCAAAAACTTGTGTACCGAGTGATAACGTGTATTTAAATGTCCTACATATTGAGCCACGCGGGACTCTGGGCTAACTTTGGTAATTTCCTCTCCGAGCGTAATTAGATCTTTCATCTCGCTTTCGTAATTCTTGACTTTTTCCTCGAACTGAATTATCTCAGCAATTTTCGCGTCGATTTCGTCCGGATTTTGAAGCATCGTGGCCTCTATTCTGATTTTATTTTCGTTCTCCTTAAGCCAAAAGATAACGTTTTCCGATGTGAGCTCGTATCGTTGCCACAAAGCGATATTTTGTTCTAGTACGGATTTGATCTTTCGATAATTGACCTTCAGGATTTCCAAATCGGCGGCGACTTTGTCGCGTTCGCTTTTGAGAGCGGAGATGGTCTCGCTACTTTCGACAGTGCTTAGAAGTTTTAACGAATTGTCCGTGTCAGTTTTTCGCATTTCGCAATCGGCGATACCGTCCTCTACGTCAACCAACGAGGCCATCTTCACTTCGAGATTATAACGATCGCTGCTCTGTTCGGGTTCGCACCAAGCTACTTTTTCTTTGTGAGTTGCGACCATGCGTTGCAATGCACCAAACTTTTCGTGATAGAGCTTTGTCAGAAAGGCCACCAACGTAGCGTTGACTTTATCGGCGTGACTAGCCACGCCGTCTCTGCGGAGTTGTAACGCCTGTAACTCCTTCGGTAAACTGGACTTCGATATAGTTGGATACTCTGATGTCATATCTGTCAATTTTTCATCAATCTTTGAAAGCTCATAATCGCACTTTTCCAGCTCAGCCTTCAATTCCTGACATTTATTAATTCTATGCAGAATTTTTGTATTCTCGCCGGTTAGATCGTCGCATTTTATTATCTCCTCACGAATCTTTGATATCGCGTCACTGCATTTTTTCAGGTCCAGCTTGATTTCTTTCTCCTTCTCATTGAAAGTTGACGTGAGCGACGCGAGTTTATCCGCAGCCTCTTTAACGAGTTTAAACTGATCGTCCAATAAATCGTTGAGGGATTTCAAAGTCGAAATATCCATGTCGTCGTTTAACTTGATAAGTTGTTCGGTTTTTGTGGCGATACTCTGACGAAGTTGTTGATACGCTGGTAATTCCTCGCGATATCTGGCTAATCGCGCCTGTCCGTTCTCAGCATCGAGTAAACATTCGCAAGCTGTAGTAAGCGCCTCGTTTGTGTCACCGAGCCATCTTATAAGTTCGTGTTTTGCCTCTTCGATCTGCTTCCAAATAATGACTTGCGTTTCGTACGCCTGAGTTCGATCGATCACCTTGCCGTTAATCTCGTAATATTTCTTTCGCATATTAGACAGATCCGTTTCGATCAGATTGGTCTTAAAGTTTGGCATTAATGATGTCTCTTTTGCCAGTTGTTGCATCTTGACATCCATTTTCTCCAGAAATTGTTTACCCTTCTTCAAAATCTCCGAAGCTCTTTTGTGTTTTTCCAGAGCCATATTCGCTTGAGTTACGTCGGCCGATACGTCTTTGACCGACTGACAAAGATTTTTTGCTTCATCGATGAATTTATTTAATTTTTCCTTGGCTTCCTGATATTGTTTCCAGTCGGCGCTCATTTCAGCGTACTTCTTTCTTTGCTCATATAAGAGTTCATTCACCTTTTCCCAGTTTCCATCCACCGAAGAAATCACTACCTGAATATTAGTTATAGCCCGTTGGTCTTCCTTCATCAAGTTGTCACCTTCTTGATGAAGGATTTCCTTTTCCGGTTCTCGTCTCTGATGATCCTCGATAAGGTCATCAATCTTTTCGATTGCTGGAGCAAGTTTTTCGCAAGTGTCAACAGTGTACGTGATGTTTTGCAAGCTCGTTTGAGTGTTGACGATTTCCTCCGTGATCTTTTGCTGCAATTTTCTAAAGTTGTCCCATTTAGCACCGAGATTCTCCAACTTGTCTCGCTTGGCAGATAATTCCGTCTTCAACACTGCGGCTTTGGATTCAAGATCGTTTAGCAAGGAAGTCGCGGTAACTGGTTTTTCTTGTTTGTCGCGAACATGTATTCCCAGAGTACTATCCATTAGTGGAACATATTCCTTCCAAGTGTTGATTTTTGTATATATTGTTTGAAGTTCCGAAGAAAGTCTATCGAGATCAGCGATAGTTGGTTTTCTGGCTTCAGATTCGTACTTGCAATGATTCAATTGCGCATTGGCATCGTTGTGCCAGCTTAAAAGTTCGATCCACTTCTCCAAGCCTTTCTTCTTCTCTCTTAAATCATCCTCAAGTGTCTTGTATTTCTTCGCCAAAGACGTGTACGTCTCGTCCAATGCGGCAGCTTCTAACATCGAACCTCGCGATGATAATTGTTTTACTTCGTCATAGATAGCCGCGAACGCCGGTTGTTTCTCCGAATGTTCCTGAAGATAAGCGTGCATTGTTTGCAAATTGGTGTCGACATTATCCACGTTTACGTCTCCTATCTCGTTGATATTAGACCTCAGTCTCATCATCCAATTCTCAAAGTCGGTAATCTTTATTTGGAATTCCTGTCGCGCTAACAACGAATCAGAAACACGATTAATATAATGGCGAACGGTGTCCGCAAGTTTGCTCACTCTGGTTTTCATTTCGGCAACACGGCCCTTTAACGCGGAGGCGCCATCCAATGACAAACCATGGCTGATATGATCGGAAATTTGAGTCAGCGATATCAATTGGGCCTGATGATCGGATATGCTCTTGTTGAATTCCTTCAATTGTGCCAATTCCTTTTCCAATTTGGCCGCCTCGGGTGTTTGAACGTTGGGTTCTTTGAGAGCTTCCCTTTCACTATTCTGCAACCACTCATTGAATTCCTTCGCTTCCGATTCAAAGGTATTCCATGATAAGACTAATTTATCCAGCTTGGTCGTTGTTTGAACCGCCACGTCATGAACTGCGTTCCATCGCGTATATACAGCATCGACTTCGTCAGGTGCCACTGTCCTTCCAGTTATCTGTTGACTAATTGTTGTCAAATTCTGAACTTTCGGAAGATGCTGCTGACATTGAACTTCAAAGGCTTTGGCCGATTCTAACATCTGCTTGGCTTGGCTCAAAGTGCTGGGCTTGCTGCCCATTGTAGCTGCCTTAGATTCCGCTTGCTCGATCCAAGGTTTTACCTTTTGAATGCCTTCCTCGTACATTTTCCATGTGGCAAGATTTTGCGTAGCTAATTCACGTTGCGTTACTATGCTTTTGTTCAACCTTTCGACCGCATTATGAAGATTTTCAATATCGCTGCGGAGTTGTTTCGCCGGTGTGTCATCACTGTCTTCTGTACAGACGTAAAAAAATATATTTTTCACATTAGAATATGTGTTTATTTTTAACTTAGATATTAATGTTTAATTATATTTAATCAAATTTCATTTAAATCTTTTCAATTTTATATTACATTTAAATCGTATTTTACTTTCTTTTTACTAATAGTTCATTATTTTGTTAAATAAGTTTTAATAAAAAGGAATAATATGAAAAAAAAAAAGTTGTACACTTACCTTTCACGAGTTTCCGGGATTCGTTTTCCAGTGCATTTAGAATTAATACTTTTTCTTTTACTTCTTTCTGCAGATTTTCCGTTTTACGAACTTTTTCCTCAGGCGAGGCTGCGGAATCTTCGATATCCGTGATTGATTGAGGCGCTGCTTGTTGAATCCAAGATCGAAGTTCACCGAGTTTTGATTGAAATTTATTCCATCGAGTACTATGTTCCTGAAGATAAACAACTTTCTCACGCACGATCTTCAACGTGTGTTCTACTTTTTGTTCGGTTTCCGTCACTTCCATTTTCAGGACTTCTCTTTTACTCAGCGGTGTAATCGTTTCGGAAAGATTAGCATACGTTTCGCGTAATTTTCTCATCATTTCCTCGGCTGATTTTCTTAGATTCGCGTTGAATTCTTGTTTCTTTTGTAGATCGGAATTCACTTGAGCGGCATCGTAATAAGATGCCAATTCAATTTGACGCAACTCTTGTTCAGCTTGCTTGATCAATCTAGAAATCTCTTCCTTTTGTTCTTGATAAGTACTCCAGAGTTTCTGTGAATCCTTCAGAGATTTTAGCGTCTCCATACTTTGACCGTACGTATCGTTCCAGTTGGCTTCCAATTGCTGAACTTCGGAAGAAACGAAGGATGGAGCGTGTTGATCTTTCAAGAGGTCTTTGCCGCGTTGCAACATGCTGACAATAGTTGCTCGTTGTTGCTCTAGTTGATTAAGACGGGATTCTTGATGAGCCACTGCACTTTGTAATTTTTCAGGAACTTCAGGAGCGACCTCAACTTTTGATTGTTCACGAACCTTGCGCAACAAGGTGCACACTTCGCGTACTTCTTTGCGATAGGTGTAACTCTTCGAGTAGATGTCCGTCTTTGTCATTGTAATCTCGATCGTTGGTATTAGATTCTTGTATCGAGTTATCAATTGCTCCAAATTCTGCTGCGCTGTGAGTGCTTCGCGATCCGAACGATTCAATGTGAGATTGTCGAGAGTTTGTACCAGCCACTTCATTTCTTCACGCTTGCTGTCAGCTTCGTGGCAAATTTTCTGTAAACAATCGATAGCATTTTGCCATATTTGTTACACCTAACTTAAGCAATATATTAGCCATCAGATAAATGAGATGATGAAGGATGATAAAAAGGTACTTTATTTTATTTCTCAAAATAAGATTTTGGAGTGATTATTGAATAATAATTTTGAAATTACATACATCAAAAATCAATATTTACTAAAAATTTTAATTGAAGAACAATCCTCATTAAATTATCTTCCGCATAGCAATCCTACAAGGTATAAGGAAATACACAGGTGCGCGTATATTTACCGTCAAAGTCTGGAGCTATCCGGAGGGAACGCAAAACAGGCGAAGCAAAGTATTTAAATATTCCAATGATGTGATAGAGAAATTTTATATGGAACTGACCAATACTTACTTGGAATATAGTCTTTTCCTTCTCAAACTCTTCTAGAGTGTTGACCTCATGTAAAATGGTTCTCAGAGTACCGTCAACGTGATCCATCCAGTATACCATCTCATCGAATCTATAATCAATTACACATTATGTTTGAAGGAAAGAAATTAGCATCAATCTGCTGTCTCAATCAGACTAAAGTTGATCGAATGCTCACTTTTGTCTATAAGCTGCCCATTGTTGTGGAACTTCGCGCAACTGTTCTCTCAAATTCTCCACTTTTTGCGCGGTTTCTTCCCACAATCGTTCAGCGTTTTGTACAGCATCGGTCAGACTGGTGTCCTTCGGCTTGAGCTTATTGTAAGCGTCACTGATCTTCTTCAGAGTCTGTAGACAACGCTCGACCTCGAGGACGGTGCCGCGATTCACGAAGAATTCCCTGTTGCGCTGCTGGATGCCGTCGACATCGTCGTTGTTGATGAGCGCTTGCTGTTCGGAATTAATCTCCATTTCGATTTCTTTGAGGTATTGAAGAAAGCTGGCCTCGTCCAGACGAAACTCGAGCCTCATTAGGTGAAGCGGAGCGAAGGTGAGAACTTCCCTCCAGCGTTTCTGAAGAGCTTCCACTGTGTTTGCGATGGGAAGTTGCTGATCCACCGGTAAAACGTTCCGTAGATCTTGGCCGGCCTTCACGAGATCTTGTATCCATTTTTCGTTGACTTTGCCGAAGAAGTTTTTGTGATACTCGACAGACTGTCGATTGTCGATGTGCTTTTCATTGATCATTGTCTCCGCGACTGAGAGCCATTCCGAGATCTGTCGCTCGCATTCTTTAAATTTAGTCCAGCGTCGCACGGATTCTTGCAAACGTTGTTCCCACATCTGCGCCGCTTGAGAGACCTTGACAAATCGATCATTGAGGCTTCTTAGCGTTGCCCCACCTTCGGCCGTCTCTACATTGGCGTGGCTATCCACGGCCTTGACGATACTAGCGAACACTTTGTTCTTAGATTCCAACATAGATTTGTAATAGAGAGTCCTCGAGAAGAAGGCTTTGTGGCGATCTAATTGAGCCAGAGCAGCGTCCCTACCACCCGCAAGATTAATATTGGCTAAAAAGCTCTCGGCTTCGTCCAGCCACGCGGAGATCTCCTTCTGTCCTGCTTCTAGGGATTCTTGCTGTACCAATAATTGATGATACAAATGGAGTTGCATAGGTATCAAGGCACGCACTTTAACAAGCGCTTCTTTCTCCTTCTTCAAAGTGTTCATCATCTTGTCGACTTCGTCGCGGGACAGATCCTGAATAAGAGTTTGGAACTTTTTACTGATATTTTTGAAGAGATCTTCAATGCCTTCTACTTCGTTGTGAAGAGTTTGCAATTTCTCTCCGTAAGCTTTGATCCGTTCCGTGGAGGTCAGTCCGGTGGTCGATAAGGCAATCTCGGCGTTTCTTAACCAATTCTGCAGAGTCTCTACTCCCGCTTTATAGTCCTTTCTCGTTCGAATGAGATCGCCCGCGTGCATGTACTGTTTCGCCTCTTGGAAGAGCTGTTCCCATCTCGCTGTTAGATTTGCGTAACGCTCCTTCAGGCGAAATGCAACCGATTCGTCAGACGTGGCGATCAGGAAGCTTACGGTGTCCGACAATTGCTGATGCTTATCCTTCCATACGCTAATATCTTGAAAGAATTCCATTTTCTCTTCCTCTGGGAGTTTCAGAGCGGGTTCAGCGCGAAGTAACCATGCTTCGAATTCATCCGAGACGATGGTCCAGCGACGCCAATATGCCACAACTTCCTCAAGCATACTCTGGACACAGCGTAGATCCATCGATACATTTTTCCATTTTTCGGCAGTGTCACGCATAAAACGATCAATGTTAAGACTCTCTTCTCGATCTAAAAAAAAAACCCAAATTTATGACATGCAGCGATGAAAAAAACCTATTATTTATTTAGAAAGTTCCATTTTAATATATAAAATAAATTAATTATATTTCAATTAAAGCAATTCCTATTTATTCGAATAATTATTCTTTAATGTAAATATTTTATTATTTATTATTATTGTAAACATTTATATAATTAATATAAATTGGATATTGGCAATCATAATTAAATAAATATCGATTAATTAAGATATTTTTATTTACCAATGTCACCGTCACATTTGTACTCCTCCGCAACTTGCTGCATGTCCAAGTATGCCTTTTGAAATTCCTGGAATATCCTATTTCTGGAGACAAAATTGCGATACTGCTCCAACATCTGATGCACTTTCTCTTCCGTGCCATATTTAACGTTCCAGCCTTTTAGTTTGGTCTCGACGAGATACAGGAAAGCTATAAGGCAGCATTTGTGCTCTAGGAACTTTAATTTCACTCTTCTCTTAGCAGCACGACTGGGCAAACTATCGAAGCGCATCGACATATTCTGTAATTGTTCAGGCCGGACTTGTTTGGCCAACGGCGAGTTCTTGACACGTTGGAATTTTTCCGTCATCGCTGGTAAATCGAGAAAGAATTTCTTATGGTCCTCCAACTTGCTCGAAATTATATTTGCTGTACTCTCTGTCATCTCCTGCGGTATATTATTATCTGAATGTAAAAGAGCTTCGGCTTTTGCCAACCATTTACCAACTTCTCCTAATTCTCCCGGTAACGCCGAATCCAACAACCAAAGCCAATGCAGCATCTAAAGAAAAATAACATTTTAGAAAAAAATTTCTGCGCAAACAACGCAATATTCTATTTGTTCATTTAAAGAAACTACAGATAAACCTACAAAGAGTTCCATTTGCTGCCACAACATCTGTATGTGTCTCCAAGAATCTCGTGTGATACTTATCATACTAGGTGTATCGACCAAACTTTGCATTTTTTTATATATAATTGATTTCTCATCAGTCTCTGCTCTAAATAGCATATATTCCTGAAAGAAAAATTATAAGAAATGTTAAATTTTTACTTTATTTATAATTTATTATACTTTTCTCTTTATAGCTTCAAATATCACAAAATCCTTGAAACATTATTACATTTAAAATATAAAAAAATAAGAACTTATGTATATAAAACGGTATAATTAAAATTATTTTTTTATGAATCTTTTAATTTTAATAACTTTTTTTTTATAAAATTATGTAAATGACTTTATTAAGAGATTAAAATTAAAATTTATGATAGAAATCTTATTGTGAAAATACCGGATAACTTTGTGGATAGGCGTTGGTTCTGTCAAGTTGTTCGAGATGCCTGACTCTTTCATTTAACCAATTGAGAAGACCATCGTATTCTTCTTGTACAGCCGCAAAGGAATCAGGGGCTGTGTTTCCCGGTTCCGGATATTTATGCAAAAATTGGGCAACATATGTCATGATTGATTTTTCATCAGGCTGTGGCACATCCACGTCCTCTGGATCCAACAATCGGGCAATTCCTAATTCAATTTCGGCAACCTGGAAGGCTGTTTCCAGCCGAGCTCTGTTCGACGCTTCTCTCATAGCTGCTATATTTACCAAGTTGGCCTTTATGGCATCGATGATAGCTAAGAAGGCATTTCCATCTCTCCAACTCTCACCAAAATCTCGAACTTGAATACCAACATCCCTAAGAAATTAATTCCGTCGTTAAACGTTTAACGTTTTCTTATAGAGAACGACTCCACGTAATTGTATCTATTATATAAATTGCGGTCAAGTACTAACTTGGGCAAGGCATTGGTGACCCATTGAAGCAAGGTTTTCCGTGCACTTTGTTTCCATTTTTCACTACTGATGCGTTTCCTTTCGCTCGCCGCCGAGCCTTGAGTGCCGAGACTTTCGAGGCTGCTCTGACTGCCCCAAGTTTGTTCAAGATATTCGAGGGCTCTCGTGTTCTCTTCGATCTAAAAAAAAATGCCAAGGGCTAGTACCTATGTTTCTTCTTCTTTCCGAGCCTGAAGATAATCTAGCGTGCTAATGGAATGCGCAATATCATGCAAGTGCAGTCCGTCTTGTTCTCTTAGAACGATCAAAATTATTTATCGTGCAGTCACGATAAATGTTATTTGTTGTTTGTTTTTTTTTACTACTCACCCGCTTGCGATCCTTTGATCGTAGCTTGTTCATTGGAATAGATACGGTTAGCAGAATGATACAGTTTACTTTACTCGTGACGAGGATTAATTTATTCGAGCATTTATCTGACTTGTAGAAAAAGATACTTAATCTCTGTCGTAATCAATATATTTTGAAATTTGCTTTAACAATATTATAAATTTTAATTCTTAATTTCAGAGAATTAACATTTAATTGTTACTATGATATACTGAATGATGAGATCTATTATTGTACGATTTGAGTAAGAAAATTGGAAAATATAAATTAATCCTTGTTATAGCATATATATATAAAAATATGGTGCTGCATATCCGTCAAAGTAATTTGATACGTGATACGAGCGCTATATTTAAGCAGCTACCGCATACTAAATATAATGGTGCTCTTTTACATAGGCATTACGTATAAATAAAATATCTGAATATTACGATAAATACCTGGAAATATAAGATGATGGTCCATATTAGGCCCAGTACTACCGGCGGTCTTCCGTCGACCAAATCAGATGAATTTATATTCACTAATTTGATCTGTAAGAATATTAAATTAAAAATTGAATTCCTTAATTTGTTAATAAACAAACAGTGGATATTTACTTTCTTGCTCTGTAAAAATTGTAATGCGGTATTAGCATTACTCAGGAAATGCGGTCTCTTTAGATTACGGCCTCTCTCCACGGGCTGAAAGATCAAGCGTCCAATTATTTTAAATAATTGGATTTAACATCTTAATTGTTTCATAAATGCCAGTGCAAAATTTCATTACCAGTTTCTCTCCCGAAAGAACTTCGAGTAATGCAAGAAGACGTGTGCCGTCTTTCAGATCCTCAATTAAGTCTTCGATTCGAAGCGGTGGAACTCTCTATAAAAAATATTTATAACATTTTCTTAATGAATAAAAAATTGTTTAATATCTCTATCCGTGAAACATATGAAAAGCAAAATATAATGTAAATATTGCAAATCGCGTATATCACTAATGGTATCGCGTATTAACAAATTTTCTAAAATTTAATATTATATTTAATATATTATATACATATGTAAAGATATTTATAAATTAACATTTATTATATTTATATTTATTTTTAATATTTTAACTGTTAATATTTAATACTTATAATGAGTATAATAATACTTTCAATTGTTAATTACAGTTTGCTTCACAAAAGTTTCAGCGACAACAAGTTATTAAATTTTCGATTATTTATCTTTAGCGCATTGTAAAATAGGCCAAGATTATTTGTATTTTTTTATATTTGATGAAACGCGGTTTTCGTGCTGACTTGAAGCAACGACGAGTGAGGCGTTCTCGAGATTCAAGAATTTCGTTTTCGCCTGTGGTGCATGCATGTCACGAGTGGAGTTTTCCATTTCGTAGAGCAAGTTCTGAAGGATGCGGAAGTAGGGGAGCATTGAAACTCAAGAGCCAGGTACGGGCTAGATCAGCCGTTCAAGTTTTGATAGCACGATACGAGAGGCAGTAGGCCCGCGTAACGTTTTATTACGCGTCACGTAAGGATCGAGAGAATTACGTAACTTGGAATGAGAAAAGGACTAGAGAGTCAACCCATCAAGAAATTGCCCCGCCGTTTGCATTATCATTATCGTTATCGAGCACTTGCCGATGAAACGGTATACGATATCACAACGAAGGCGAATATATTTCTTTATGTTCTCTGAAGGTGACAGACATTTTTCTTCCCCATACACGCTTACCTTTGACAGATGAGAATTGATCCAATTTATGAAGGTTTTCTTTTGTACGCGTTCTTGTTCGTCTGAAAGAAGAAATTGAAATTAGATTAGGCGATTTTTTTTCCATGAATTGATTAAAGAATTTATTTATTTGCGAAAATAAGGAACCGATTCTTGAAATTGCGTTTTTTGAAAGGGCACGTTTTTTTTGAAAGGATAAGTATAAATTATTCATATTATATGCATTGGATGATAAATGTTGAAGAAGAACATTCGAATAATGTTTGTGACTTCTCGTGGGCATTTGTGAATCGTCAAGACAATCAATTATAAGGATTATGCGAAATACATTAGTGCCGTTTTATTTTTAAATGTGCCGTCATTTTTACTATATCTTGCTAGGTACAGTGCCGTATACGTCGTACGACAATGAATATGCAACTAACATATACTCGCAGGGGCATGATCGTAAAAGTTAATCTTTCACGTAAATCATTTGCGATATGCACGTCTATTCCTAACGCGGTCCGACTACAGGAAGGGAAATTAATCGCGCTAGTCAACGCAGACGAAGCGAATATGATCGATGAAACGGATTTTGTACTCTTTCACAACGTCAAAGAATTTTTTTTAAACCTTTCTACAAAATTACAAGCTTCTTTTAACGTGCAATTTCCGCTACGTACATTTGCTTAAGTGATTAAAAAAACTTTTATACGAACTTTTTACGTGATATCTCTGACTTGAGGATCTATTTTACTATTGATTATTTATTCATTTTTATGCATGAGAAATACGGTGATGATGTCCAAATGGATTTATTCCGGGCGTTTAATAACGTTTAATGTATGCAATTTAAATTGGGATTCTTTTTCTGCCGACATGTGCGTTTATGAGGTTACGACGATTCCTAAAAGTCTGCGAAAGTCTGCGGTTCCCGAAATAAAACAGTTGCGTTTGATGTCACCAACATTAACGTCATTGCCTTGAGACAATGTTCCTTTTCATCGGACCTTTCGTATGGTCTGGCGGTATATATTATGTCTTCGTGTTACGAATACGACGATGTGTTTTGCACACGCACAAGATACGCATCAACATAGTGTGCGTTTATTACGTGTGTGATATAATCAGCAAAGCTGACGATAATTAACGAAGACGCGTTGCCTCGTTCGATGCAATTCTTCTTATTTATGAGTCAGAAATATCGTCAGAAGTTTACCCTTTCGTTTGATCTTACATTCGGATGTTGCATTAATCGGATTTCTTGACACCGAGCCATTAATTTTTCTGAGGACGTAAAGGTGATTGCCTTGGAAAATACAGACTGTGAATTTAAAGTTGCAGTTGAGTTTCGCTCAAGAAGATATTAGAAGAGCTTTTGCTCATTCGTTACGCTTCGCAAATTCTCCTTTCGATAAGATTAACGAGGACATATTCTCAAACTCGCACATACGAGTGAAGATAAGAAATAAGATGCTAAAAGCGGTATTGTCGCGCATACATAAAAGTTTTTAGAAATATTACATTAATAATGTATATCAATAATATTACATTAATAATATAAATAATATATTATCATAATAAAAGTATAATATAGTAATGTTTTATTAATTTTCATATTTTGTAATAAAAGATTATTTCATATTTATACAGTTGATTACTCTTATATCGAGATATACAAAATTATTTTATTTAAATATATTACACGTGTGTTCCAAAATACAATTCATGACACATCTTTGTACAATAAATTCTTTGATTCAATTTATAATCAATTTCTTCTCAAAATAGTTTGAATAATTTGAAAATAATAATTTTATAATCTTTAAATAATGATCGAAAATAGAAATCATAAAATTTAAATAAAACATATGATAGAATCATGTTGTTTTTGTACTGATACGTATATCTTACTTTAATAAAATTTTAATGCATTTCTAAATAAAAATATAATATTAAAAACTGAAAAGATACGATAAATATAAACTTTTCTTAATATTTTTGGTAATTATATAAAATATAAAACTGATAAAAAAGAATTGTAGTTAAGATTGAATATCAGATAATATCATAACTATCAAATATTTGGACAAAACAGCTGCTGAATGAAAACAGCTTTTATTATAAAATATCAATTATTAAAATTAATAAGAGATGATATAGTTTAGTGACAGTGAGGAGACTTTGTAGGATTAGCCGATGCGCGATAGCAGCTTAGACGAGAAATACTGACCTATTGAACTTTTACGATATATGGGAAATTGTAAGAAATTGCTATCTCCAGTCTTTATCGTCTCTTTATCCGCGGTAGATCGTGGTCACAGGACGTGGGCGAAAGTTGATGATCAAATTGCATTGTGGTGCAGCCTAGTAACATTGAAAAGGTAGGATATTCCTACGCATTTTCATTGCCTCATCGTGAGTGTCATGGTTACGATAAACTGTTCGACACGTAAACACAAAACGCAAAACGTGATGTTTACAAAAGCGATCGATTACACAATTTTCGATGGTTCTACTCTGCCATAAATATTAAAAGTACAGATAAGAGTCAGATAAGAGTACAGTAACGTAGATTAAATATTAGTGACTATATGTATAATTATAATGGCAATCATCATTCGTATGATTCATTCGAGTTTTCACGATATATAACATCAACGTTATAATGTAGTGTGTAGTTCAATCATTTGTAAGAGGCTCGCGTTTGTATCATTTCTAATTTTAAATCCAGCAGATTGGACGTGATGCGCATAAAAAAAAAAAAAGGTTTACCAAACGTACTCGCGCTTTATTCAAAAATATCCGAAATTACACGGCGTGAATGCTGCATTTTGCATAATGTTTGTTGAGCACTCACGCCCACCGACTCACGACATCCAAAATAAATACCGTTTTAAACGAGCGGAAATATTATTCTGTAACATGTGAGTCGCTCTCGTCGTCGAGAGAAACATTCAGGATTCTGGGACAAGATGATCCGCCGTATTATGTCACCGATGTTGAAAGTCAGATTTTGCGTATCTGCGTAATCGTCCGAACTAACCGACACGCGCGTGTATTTTTATTTTTATTGATATTAAATATTCCTCGTGTAATATAACAGATTCTGTCATTGGAGTCGAGAGATATCGATCACGGGATATTGATATCGAGATACGGATAATATTAATCTGCCATCTCAGAATTAATATCATCTATATTTCTTTCTCAAGTGTATCTTTATCTATTTTTTTTCTATCTACGTGTTTTTTATTATTGCTCGATGTTACCTCGTAGATAAATATTTAGAGATCATTTTATGGGATTTTTCTGTTAATTTGATTGTTACATGTAAGTCATTCAATCTTGTTTCGAAGAGAAAATTTGCTATAGTTTTTGAAAATACGGTAATTTCACAAAATATCAAAAGTCAAGTTGTATATATTTAAAAGGAAACAGTAATAAAAATACAACTATATTAAATAATTACTATATATGATTTAGTTCCTCAAAAATCCTTGTCATTCTCTATTATTAGCTCTCTGAGATATTACTTCAAATCATTCTGTACGTGATATAGAATAAATTTTCATCGTAAGCAGAAATATAAGACACGATTACGTAAGTTTAATTTCAGTCGTCTCTATATCAAATGTCATGATTCCTTCGATTTACGTGACTATTCCGGTTGGCAGAGCACTCGTGTGTTCATGTGTTTGAGTAAACTATTCCGAAAAAAAACGATAGGCAAAGACTAAAGCAGCGGTATATTAATGGGCCTCATTATACGGCGTCACGGAAGGTAACTGTGCCGCTGTAAAAATCAACGTAGCAACAGGAAATTTCAGCTATTGTGTGTTTATCATGGACGAGAGTTTACGGATTAAGAACCAGAACGAAATAGATGCAAAATGTTCTAAAATATATGTCTCGATTTTTATAACAAGTTTTTTGACCAATTTAAGTAAACTTTGAAACTTTTTTGAAAACAACGATGTCTAGAAAACTAAAGATTGTAAAATTCACATTTTAATTTTAAATAAATGTTTTAAATTAAAATCGAATGTTTGGAGACATATATACTCTACGTATAATGACTTTTCCAATGCGGCTTTATAACTTTATTCGAATGACTTTAAAAATAATAAATTATAAAATTTGCATAATACGTTTTCCTTCTTCTTTATTGTTTGCGTAGTTTGTGTTATGTACAACACAGTCACGTTTACGATCGATTTATTTTTATTGAAGCAGGTAGCCTGATAGAAGAAAGATTAACGACACAGCACGAATCGATATAGAAACTTTGAACTGAAACGATCAACCCACGGAGGTCAGATCGTTTTCCACGTTCACCACGCCAAGCATTGCTTCTCGTGATGGTTCAACCGGTCGCGCGAAGAAGGAAAATTTAAATAGACGTTTAAAGCAACCGGAGACAGTTGCGTGTTGCCGTTTCGCGAATCGTGTATATCATAAATAGTCACTAGCGCATTTGCAGAATGAATAGATTTATCTCAAACTTAGCGTATTGCAAAGTTCGTGAACTTTTCTTTGATTGTTGCTATTTGTTGTCGTACAAGTAAATCGCAAAACTAAACATCGAAAATAAGTCCCCATTTTAAACTGCATAGTGTTTGACATGTTTGTTGCTTTGCAAAAATCTGGATTTTATAACATAAATATCTTTCATCATCTCACAACGTATTTCGCTGATAAATTGTTTTCACATTCAAAAGTTGAGTTAAAAATTGAAATCGAAAATTTCAGATATTTGTTATTTATGAGACACAAAAAATCTATTATATACACTAAATATTCTAATCCTTTTCCTATTGCGCAAGAAGACGAATATCATAATTTCGCGATCGTATTTGTGGTTGCCAACCAATACTACGATAGCCATGCAAGACAGCAATGTCTGAGATGTCTGGTTTCCATAGGGGAGAGGAGAAAAGGGAATCAGTAAAGTGGGACAAGTTCCCGAGGATGAGGTCAGACGATGTCTCCTCGAACGAGACGGGACGAATTATGAGAGAGAGAGAGAGAGAGAGAGAGAGAGAGAGAGAGAGAGAC